ATATGTAAGTACACTGTAGCTGTCTTCAGACACCCCACAAGAGGGCATCAGATATCATTACCGATGGTTGTGAGCCACCATGTGGTTGCTGGGATTTGAACTCATGACCTCTGGAAGAGCAGTCAGTGCTCTTAACCTCTGAGCCATCTCACCAGCCCGTGAAATCTTTTAACATACAAATGTTTTCTCTTTTTAAAGATTTAAAAGCATTCTAGGTCTCTTAGCTATGGATCCATCCTGTCCTCTACCCTATTTGTGAGACAAGGTTTTCTCAGTGAACCTGGAATGTACCAGCCTGGCTAGGCTGACTGACCAGGGAGTTCAAGGATCACCTCTTTCTATCTCCAAAAAACTGGAATCATGAAGCTTCTGTGCCGGGCTTTAAAAAAGTAATAGTAATAGTAATAATAATAATGTATTTACTTATTTGTGCGTGTGTGTGTGTGTGTGTGTGTGTGTGTGTGTGTGTGTAAGCCAGAGGACACTATGCCTAGCTTCTTCAAGGATAACTTGAAGTTTGCCCTCTCCTCCTATTACACGGTCCCAGGGATGTAACTCAGGTCATCAGCTTTGGCAGCAAGCACTTAACCTGCTGAGTTATCCTGTCAGCCTTCGTGTATTATTATTGTTTTATTGTTATTGGTGTTTTTTGTCTTTTTATCTTTCAAGACAGTGTATCATCGTGTAGCCCTGGCTGTCCTGAAACTCATTATGTAGACCAGGCTGGCCTTGAACTCACAGAGATCCTCCTGCCTCTGCTTCCTAAGTACTGGGATTAAATACATGAACCACTACGCCTGGTTCCATTTTAGAAGTTTTTATTAGAAGTTTTTAAAATGAATTACATGCATTTTTTCCCTCTGTGAAGCCAGCTGAATGTATGGAATAAATTCCAGGCCAACAGCGGCTACATGTCAAGACCTTATCTCAGAGAAAGAAAAGTTACAGATGAGAGACATTCGCAATGCATATCTGCAAAGCATCAGCATGGAGGTGATTTCAAAAAAGTCCTGAGAGCTCAAAAGTAAAGCATGAAATATTCTAACTGGAAAATGAATAAGAGACATGAAGGTCTCATCAAAGAGGTTGTACTGTGGCAAGTTAATGACAATGAGGAGATGCCGTTAGGGAAAGGCAGAGTCAAGGCGCAATGAGATGACTGTCACAGTGGCTAAGACAGGGCCAGCGAGGTGGAGTAGGGGTTGAGGGCACTTGCAGCAAAAGCCTGGCAAGCTAGGTTAGATCCCAGAGTCAACAGTGGAAGGAAAGAACCAACTTCCAAGAGTTGTCCTCTGATCTCCACACATACACGGTGGGAGGTACATGCTGGCACTTATCATATCACACACGCGCGCGCACACACACACACACGAATGCACACAAATAAAAAATTTAAAACATGGATAAAATAAACCACGCAACAAAGTAAATGTTAGCTAGGATGTGGAGAAAGTAGGCAAGTCATGCCTGTCTCCCTGGTGAGAATGTAAAAATGACAGTCACTCTGGGGAACAGCTTGGCAGAGGGTTGTTGGGGTTTTTTCTTTCTCTTTCTTGGCAGGTTGTTTTAAAACCAAGCATGCATATACCACACAACCCACAATTACACTCTTGGGCTTTTCTCCCAGAAAAACTAAAACTTATGTTCACAGAAGAATCTATACAAGAGTGTTCTTCTCAGCTCTGCTTGTAATATTCCAAAGCTAGGAACTGCCTGAATGTCCTTCAACGACAGACTAAGATGACAACAACAACAACAACAACCCTGTGGTGCTCCTATACTACCTAGGAACAAAAAGGAATAAATTAAGCCAGGCTGGCCATCCACAGCTGTAACTCCAGAGCCCTGGAGGCTCAGGGAGAACTGCCAAGACTTAAGGCCATCTTGGGCTACAGAGCAAGACACTGTAAGAAAAATAAAACAGCTGGTGACACATGCCTACCATGCAAATGCTGAGGAAGCAGAGGCAGTAGGAGTTCAAGGCCAGTCTCAGCTATATGTTGAGTTTGAGGACAGCCTGAGTAACATGAGACCTTGTCTCAAAAAATAAAAGGGGCTGGAGAGATGGCTCAGCAGTTAAGAGCACTTGCTGCTCTTACAGAGAACCCAGGTTCAGTCCCCAGCACCCACATGGTGGCTCACTATTTTCTGTAACTCCTATTCCAGGGCATCTAATACCCTTTTTTGGCTTCCCAGGTACCAGGCCTGCATATGGTGCATACACATACATGTAGGCAAACACTCCGAAATATAAAAGAAAAATAATGTTTTAAAAGAAAGAAGGAGCTGGGTGGTGGTGGTGCATGCCTTTAGTCCCAGCACTTAGGAGGCAGAGGCAGGCTGATCTCTCAGTTTGAGGCCAGCCTGGTCTTCAGAGTTCCAGGACAGCCAGGTCTAAAGAAAAACCTTATTTTGAAAACCTTAAAAAAAAAAATCTGGAGCTAGAGAGATGGCTCAGGAGTTAAGAACACTGGCTGACAGCCGGGCAGTGGTCGCACACACCTTTAATCCTTTAATCCCAGCACTTGAGAGGCAGAGGCAGGTGGATTTCTGGGTTTGAGGCCAGCCTGGTCTACAGAGTGAGTTCCAGGACAGCCAGAGAAACCCTGTCTCGAAAAACAAACAAACAAACAAACAAACAAACAAACAAAACAAAACAAAAAGAACACTGGCTGTTCTTCCAGGAGACCCATGTTCAATTCCCAGCATCCACACAGTGGCTCACAACCATGTGTAACTCCAGTTCCAGGGGATCCAATGCCCTCTTCTGGCCTCCATGGGTACTAGGCACACTTATGGTGCACAGACACACAAATAGGCAAAACATTCATACATAAAAAAGAACTCAGAAAACTTCCTTACAAAATGAAAATGTTCCCACAGTCTGACACATGTACAGACCGCCAGTGTATGATGGCCAAAGGCCAGTCCCCTTCCTCATCTCCATGCGCCAGGCATGAGGGACAACGAAGCCCTAGCCATACCCCGGAGCAAGCTCAGACAGCAGGGATTGGCTGCATCAACAGCTTGAGTTATGGGGGGGGGGAGGCCTTTCTTTTCCATTTATTTTCTGATTTTAGCATAATGTCTCTGAGCACTTGGGAGCAAGCCAGGCAGAGTCCGCCCTCTTAGCAGATGCTGGCCACCCACACTGTCTTTCCTGTGTGACCTGGGCACCTTTTTCTTCCTAAAGAATCATCTATTTCATATCAGCTACCAAGTTGCAAAAATAGAGTTTCTGCCGGGCGGTGATGGCGCTCGGCTTTAATCCCAGCACTTGGGAGGCAGAGGCAGGCAGATTTCTGAGTTCGAGGCCAGCCTGGTCTACAGAGTGAGTTCCAGGACAGCCAGGGCTACACAGAGAAACCCTGTCTCGAAAAAACAACAACAACAACAAAAAAGAATAGTGATCCATGGTATTCAAGATCTTTAAAACTTTTATATTTCATTTCTTACTAATTTTTTCAGGGGGTGCAGGGTGAGTATCCCATAGCACATGTAAAGAGATCAGAGGAAAGCCTTTGGGAAGTGCTTCTTTCCACCGTGTGAGTCCCAGGGATCAAATTAAGTTGTCAGACTCAATGGCAGACAACTTCACCTGCTGAGGGCCTCACAGGCCCTCAAGATTTGTTTGCTTGTTTTTTCTTTGTTTTTTGAGACAGGGTCTCTCTATGTAGTTCTTCCTGTCCTGGAACTCACTATGTAGACCAGGCTGGCCTCCAACTCACACAGATCCTCCTGCCTTTGCCTTCTGAGTGCTGAGACTCCTCAAGGTCTTTTAATGTACACAAGACATTAAACTTAACCTGTGTCTTTCTAGTACTGGTAAAAAGTCTTTGTAGATGATCCTGGGTGGAGACTTATTGATTTTATCATCTTTGCAGAGAACCTGCTTTTCTCTTTTGATTTCCTATTTTCAATTTCACTGAGTTCTGCTTGTTTGTTTTAAGATGCAGCCTAGGCTGGCTTCAAATCGAGGCCTTAGTCTCTCAGTGTACTACCACACCCAGGTCAAAGTATATTTAAGAAAAAAAAAATCTTAGGCTGGAGAGGTGAGTCAGCAGTTAAGGGCACTGGCAGTTCTTGCAGAGGACAGAGTTCGATTCCTAGCACCCACATAGGGCAGTGGCACACAACTTCAGCTCCAGACGCCCTCTTCTGGCCTCCATGGATACCCACACACCGGTACACACCTCACACAGAGGCACACACATAAATTAACAATTTAAAAACTCATTGTACCATCCAGGTGATGCATATCTGTAATCTCAGCACCTGGATCAAGGCAAGACCATCAGGAGTTCAAGCCAAGCCTCAGCTACATACAGCTCAAGGCCTGCCTACACAAGATGAAACCTGTCCCAACCACCACCACCACTACCAAGATCTTACCCAAAGAGCAGCAGGTACATTGATGTGGGCAACCGTTGGATTCCGGCGGTGGTTTGGTTTACAAAAGGGGAAAACATTGCTAGGTGATGCTGATGCATGCCTTTAATCCCAGAACTCAGGAGGCAAAGGCAAACAGATCTCTGAGATTTCAAGGCCAGCCTGGTCTACAGAGTGAGGTGTACAAGGCTATACAGTGAAACCCTACCCTAAAAACATCCCCCTCCCCAAAATGGGAAAATCTAGGGAGAAATGACACAGACACAAGGTCACACGGGGACTGGTGATTCTTAGACCTCAGACACGGATGCTGGCCAAGAGTTCATGTTCAACTAAAGGGCCCCCCCCACTGGCCCCACCCCGCCTCAGGGCAGCCTTTACCTGGCTATTGATGTTGTTGTTCTCTCCAAACAGCAGGAGCCCCCCGATGAAGGCAGCCAGGAAAGAGTGTATCTGATGGCTCTCGCCTTGCACGTGGGACTGCAGGGCATGGAGACTCTTATAGGCGAACACAAAGCAGGCTAGGTTCCGAGAGTGGGTGTATGTGGCTTTCAGAATGGCCTGCAGCTTCTCTCGGAGACTGCACAAACAGAAAGCCCTGTGAGTACAGGCCCAGCTGGTCCAGGCAGGTTTCCCGGGTGTACACACAGGTCTGAATTAGGCAAGGGTGCTCCATGTCCTGAGGAGCATAGCTCTCTCACCAGACTGGAGTCACTTCCTGACACCTTGTGATAAGGAGTGCCGATCTTCCTCACCCGTCCTTCATGGCTCTTATCACCACTTAGCATCTGTAAGCTGCTTTATTAAGTTTCCTGGTCCTCAGTATAACCTCCTGCAAAGCAGGGTCTAGATTTATTTGTCTTGAGGGCAGAGAATAGAATGGGGTCTGGCACATAGTAGGTGCTCAACAAATAGAAGAGGTGAGTAAAAAAATTACAAGCTGGATCTGCAGATTGAATTCTGAGAAAGGGGGCTGGAGAGATGGCTCAGTGGTTAAGAGCACTGACCGCACTTCCAGAGGTCCTGAGTTCAAATCCCAGCAACCACATGGTGGCTCACAACCATCTGTAATGAGATCTGATGCCCTCTTCTGGTGTGTCTGAAGACAGCTACAGTGTATTCATATATAATAAATAAATAAATCTTTAAAAAAAAATGAATTCTGAGAAAGGACAGATCTGCTTTCTGCCTTTGTGGGGCTTATGAGCCGGGAGCAAGACAAGAATTAGACACTGACGTTGACAGCAGGTTGTCCTGGAATCTGAAGGACAGGAAGGAATCCATGAGAAGAGCATGCTGCTTTCTGGGCATAAGACTCACTGGACACAAAGGCCCGAAGGACAGACACAGAGGAAGGGAATGAAGCAATGGAGAGAGGCCAGTGTGGACTATGAACAGGGGCTGTGTGTGGAGAAGGGGAGTGAGGTCAGCTAACTGCAACTGCTCCTCCTTTTGAGTTAAAGAAGAACTTAGTGGGGGGGGGTGTCTTGCTTGCATGTGGATACCTACAGAGACCAGAAAAGGACACTAGATTCCCTGGACCTGGAGCTACAGGGAATTGTGAGCTGTTGGTGGCTGAGGCAGGAACCAAATTCCAGTCCTCTATAAGACCAACAGACATTCACAATGGCTGAGCCATCTCTACAGGCCCACTAGGGGGCAGCAAAGACAACCCAGCGATAGAGCAGAGTATACAAGGGCATGGTGGGAGTATGTCAGGTGACTGGGAAAAGCCAGCAGCAGCTGGTTCTTGGCTCTTGAGGACCTGGGCCCCATGAGTACCTTTGTTTGTTTATGGGTTAGCTGGCTGATTATTTGAGACAGGGTCTTTTTATGCAGCCCTGGCCGTCTAAAAACTCACTACATAGACTAGACTGTTTGGAACTCAGAGATCCACCTGCCTCTACCTCCCAAATGCCACCATGTCTAGCTATGAATACCATTTTTAAAGGAAGAAAGTTGGATTACAATTGGGCAGGGTGACACATTCCTGTATTCCTGGGTGAAACAGGAAGATTGGGAATTGGAGACCAGCCTGAGCTATGAAGCAAAATCTCTGTCTCAAAAAACAAAAAAGTAAGACCAAACATTCTGTTGCTTGCCGTTAATCCCAGCACTTGAGAAGGCAGAGGTATGCGGACCTCTGTGTGAGGCCACCACACATCCTGTGTGAGGCACTGTGAGACTGTGCCTCGAAATAACAATAACAAAAACAAAACCAACCCTGAAAAGGTAAGTAGCTGGCAGTGACCTTCCCTAGAAACTGTCTCAGAGTCTGACTGCTGTCTTCCCAGCCACCACCCAGCTCTGGGCGGCTACCAAGGATGCTCCATGGTTTCTACTTTTGTGTGGTTCCCTCTTCTCTCTCCAAGCTGTTCTCAACCAGGCAACAAATGTCTTCATGCTCTCACACATACGGAAGCCACGAAACCCATCCTCCCAGTGTTTGGGAGGCTGAGGTGGGACTCAAGCCTTCAATTGGGAGGGCATGCTGACAACAAAGCAAGACTTCATCTCAAGGAGCAAAAGGGAAAAGAAACATGGGGTGCTTCCCACAAGGGTTGGAGAGATGGCTCAGAGGTTAAGAGTGCATACTGCTCTCACAGAGGACCCGAGTTCAGTTCCCAGCACCCATGTCAGGGTCCATCCCCAAAGGCTCCACAAGGGCACCTCCACTCATGTGTGCATATTCAAAGATACATAACTAAAAATAAAAATAAATCTTAAAAAAAAAACCCAACCCTGTGGGAAGTCAAATAGTGGCATGCCCCTGCTCCAAAGCTAGTTTTCTGTTCTCACTTAAAAGGAAAACAAGCTCTTCTCTCAGGCTTAGAGCTGAACAGGCCTGGTCCGGTTCCTGATATGACCCTAGATAGCCTCTCCCTTTCAACCCTCTGGTGGCCAATTTCCACCTGACCAGGCACATGCCCACTGCCCCTGGCCTCCTGTTCTGATTATCTCCTGCTGGAAGAGCAGAGATCCCTGTCTGCTTTGTTCACGGCTCTCTCTTTAGCCGCCCAAACGGTGTCCACCTCATAATAGATATTCACTAAGTACTCGGTGACCGAGTGAATAAGTTCAGGTTTTAAAAAAATGATTTGAGCTAGGCATGGTGGCACACACCAGGTAGGTGGACCTCTGTGAGTTCCAGGCCAGTCTGGTCTATAGAGCAAATTCCAGGATAGCCAGAGCCACACAGAGAAACCCTGTCTTGAAAAACAAAAACCAACCAACCAAACAAACAAAACAATGTGGGACCTTGTCTCAAAACCAAAACTGAACAAAACAAAAAGACCTGGAGGGCCTGGGGATATAGCATCAGTGCAGGTGTGCATGCCTACTATGTTCCTGGCTCTAGAGAGAGAAGGAGAGGGGGAAAGAGAAGGGGAGGGAGGGGAAAGGGAAAGATGAGATTGGGAGGGCAACCCTCCTCCCCAAAGATAAGTAAAATAAAAATGTCAAAACAGAACTCTTGCAACTTAGTTTTTTTGTTTGTTTGTTTGTTTGTTTTTGTTTTTGTTTTTTGGTTTTTGGTTTTTCGAGACAGGGTTTCTCTGTGTAGCCCTGGCTGTCCTGGAACTCACTCTGTAGACCAGGCTGGCCTCGAATTGAGAAATCTGCCTACCTCTGCCTCCCAAGTGCTGGGATTAAAGTCGTGCGCCACCACCGCCCGGCAACTTAGATTTAACCTGCCCTCTGAGTATGATTTTTTTTGGATGTATTTATTTTCTGTTTTATGTATACGAGTGTTTTAGCCACCATGTGAGTGCTAAGAACTAAACTTAGGTCCTATGAAAAGCCAACAAGTGCTCGTAACCAATGGCGCCATCGCTCCAATCCCTGGGTAGGATTCTTATAAGCCGCAGGTGTGTCTATAGCCACAAAAACTGGACTGCCGTGAATCTTCTGAGTAAGTCCATGAAGGAAGGGATAAAGGAACTCAAAAGAAGGCTGGGACACTGAAGCCGGTGACGGAAGAACAGAGACTGATTCCCAGAAGACTGGACAGGTTTCCAGGAAGCAAATAAAGGCTTGCTAGAGGAAGCCAGGGTATTCCTGGAAGTGGGCATGCACCAGCAAATTCCAGGATAGCCAGAGCCACACAGAGAAACCCTGTCTTGAAAAACAAAAACCAACCAACCAAACAAACAAAACAATGTGGGACCTTGTCTCAAAACCAAAACTGAACAAAACAAAAAGACCTGGAGGGCCTGGGGATATAGCATCAGTGCAGGTGTGCATGTGAGAGTGGAAGGCCCAGGCATGTGCTAAGGAAGCCCACATGGGACATTGTGGGACACGGCTGTGGCCAGGCTGCAGAAGGCCTGAAGGCCAGACCTGCCAGCTGGATCTCTTCAGAGGACAGTGAGGAGCCATAGGCATTTTCAAGTCAGGGACATAGAATCAGAGTTGGCCTTTAGGAAGAACAGGGGCACAGGGAAGCTAGTCCCATCTAGGAAACTACTACAGCCATGCTGGCCTGAGGGCTGGGCACTCTCTCCCCACGGTATGCAGGGAAGGTAGGTACCTGCCACTCCTGAAGAGAAAGGTCATCACCAGTGCATGAGGTGCCCGGATTTTGACTCCGTAGCTGTAGAAACAGAAGAAAACAGTCACTAACCCATTGCTGTAGAAGTTTTCCACCTCTCCCTTGGACCCCTGGTCCTCTCTCCCACCCCCAACTCTGATACCCCATGGGAGAGAAAATAATGTCAGCTCTCTATTTATATCTGGGTTCAAGTTCTAGACCTTCCTGATAGAGTGGCCTTTGGCTTACCTTTACCTTCTCCGAGTCTCAGTTTTCCCAACTAAAAAGGAATGCTAAACTTTAGAGGGATAGATGGGTATAATTCTAAGGGGAGAAACTGAAGTATGCAAAAGGTGGCCACCATTCCCACCCACCTGGCTTTGCAGAGACATGCCCTCAGCTCCTTCGTGTATTTCATACTACAGCCAGGTTCATCGCTTATTAATTTTAAATTTGATTGATTATTGTTATCACTAATACTGATTTCATTACATCATTCGCTGATACAGAATCTTACTATGTACCACTAGCCAGGCTAGAACTCAACGTGTACACCAAGCCAGCTTCCAGCTCAGAGAGGCCGAGTGGCTGGTGCACACCTTAGATCCCAACCGGGTCTCTCTGAGTTGAAGTCCAGCCTGGTCTGCATAGTGAGTTCTAGAGAAGTCAGGGCTACAAAGTGAGACCCTGCCTCAAAAACAAAACATCACCGCCACCGCCACCGAAACAACAACCATAACAAAACAACAACAACAACAGCAACACCCCCTCATAAAGGCCCGGGGAGGTGGTGCACACCTTTAATCCCAACTCTTGGGAAGCAGAGGCAGTCAGAATCCTGCAGGTTCAGATCTCTTTGAATTCAAGGCCAGCCTGGTCTACAAAGGAAGTTACAGAACAGCCAAGACAGTTATACAGAGAAACCCTGTCTCAAAAAACAAAAAACAAAACAAGAAAACCCTCACAGAGATGTGCCTGCCTATACCTTCTGAGTGCTGAAATTAAAGGCGAATGTCACCATACCAAGAATTTATTATTACTATTTATTTATTTATTTATTTATTTATTTATTTATTTATTGGTTTTTCAAGACAGGGTTTCTCTGTGTAGCCCTGGCTGTCCTGGAACTCACTCTGTAGACCAGGCTGGCCTCGAACTCAGAAATCCACCTGCCTCTGCCTCCCAAGTGCTGGGATCAAAGGCGTGCGCCACCACCGCCCGGCTTTTTTCTTTTTTAAAAAAAATTATTATTATTATTATTATTATTATTGTGTTTGGTATTTTAAAAATTATTTATTTGTGTATGTGTGTGGACATATATGCTAGCTGGTTTTATATTAACTTAATACAGTAACAGTAATTTGAGAGAGAGGAACCTCAATGAGAAAATCCCTCCATAGGATCAAGCTGTGGGCCGGCAAGCCTACGGAGCATTTTCTTAATTAGTGAGTGATGGGCCCAGGCCATGGGTGATGTCAACTGTGGGGTGATGGTCCTGGTTTCTAGAAGCCATGAGAAGCAAGTCAGTAAGCAGCACCCCTCCAGGCTTCTGCATTAGCTCCTGCCTCCAGGGTTCTGCCTTGTCTGAGTTCCTGCCTTGGCTTCCTTCAGTGGACTGTGACTTAGGCTGTGTAAGCCAACTAAACCCTTTCTAAGTTGCTTTTGGTCATGGTATTTCATCACAGCATTAGTAACCCTAAGATACACCTTTACCCTTATTTCTAAAATCCCTTGAAGGCCTGGGACAATGAAGGCCTGAGACAATGGTTGTGAGCCGCATACTGTTGTTACCTGAATATACAGGAATATTCATTGTAGGCTTCAAAACAGAGGAGCTCCATCACTGGGGAGGCAGAAGCAGGTGGATCTCTGAGTTTGAGGCCAGCCTGGTCTACAGAGCAAGTTTCAAGACAGCCAGGGCTACACAGGAAACCCTGTCTCAAAAAAAGCCAGGGGGGTTGGAGGGAGAAACTCCACAGACAACGCCATTAGCCCAGTACTTGCATGAAACAGCAAATGGCTGGAATCAGGCACAGGGTAAATGGCTCGGGAAGTAAAGTGCTCGCACAGTGACCTCGAGGACCCAATAGCAGTGGACCTCATCAGCAATCCCAGACCACGGGGACAGAGATGGCCACGCAGAGGCTTGGAGCTCACTGCTCAGCCAGCCTAGGCAATGGATGAGCTCCAGGCGCGGCCACAAAAGCCAATGCAGAATGTGATGGAGGAAGAGAACTAACGTCAACCTCTGACCTTCATACTTATCCACCCACATACCCACTCGAGCATGTACATGAGAGAGGTGGGGGTGGGGAGAATGCTTTCCCTCTACCAAGCTAAGTGTGGTGGTGCATGCCTTCGAGTCTTTAATCCCAACACTTAAAGGCAGAGAGGCACGAAGTTCTGTGTGAATTCAAAGCCAGCCTGGTCTACACGGAGTTCCAGGTCAGCCAGGACAAAACTCTAGATTGGGACTGAGGAATTATTATATTATGAGGCAAATAAAGGAATCATCTTCCCCTCTGCCTGGCAACCACTGAGATGGCTCAGTGGGTAAGAACGAGCATTGCAGAGGGCTCGAGTTCAGTTCTCAGCACCCCGTGGTAGCTCACGACCATCCATGTCTCCAGCTGCAGGGGGTCTCTCACCCTCTTCTGGCTTGCATGGAGCATGTACACGGCACATATGCATACATGTGGGCAAAGCATTCATACACACACAAAAAAAATACCTTAAAAAGTAATTAATTTGGGAGGCAAAGGCAAGCGGATTTCTGAGTTCGAGGCCAACCTGGGCTACAGAGTGAGTTCCAGGACAGCCAGGGCTACACAGAGAAACCCTGTCTCAAAAAAACAAAACAAAACAAAACAAAACAAAACAAAAAACAAAAACAAAAGGCAAAAAAAAGCAATTAATTTAACTTTTTTAAAAAGAGAAAATGGAGGTCAGAAGAGATGAAGAATCATTCAATATTCAGACTAAAAGCGTTAGGATTCGAGCTGGAGAATATGACCACAGAGGGCCAAGAAGGTTCACCAAGGAGGAGGATGCAGGGAGCGCAGAAACGGGAGATGTACAAAGCCCTCGTTGGGAAATGCCTGCTGGCTCTGGGGCTCTTTGGGATTTACAAGAGCAACGTGGAAAAGTGTGAGCAGTGTAGCAAAGGAGTGAGGTGAGGGAGGTGCTCTATACATTAACATTTCAAAAGCAAATCACTCAGGGTGGGGGGTTGGTGTTTGTGTGTACATACAACACTCTGGATGAAGACACACGAGGGACAGTCTCCACAGAGAGGGGCTGATGGCAGAGGACATTTGTCTAACAACTTTATTTAGAGTTGGGGATGGAACTCAGGGCCTCTTGCATGCTAAGTGAGTGCCCCTGACTTTTGTGAATGAGTTACCTAACTTTTAAAAGATGAAATTAAAGGAAAACTTTAAAGCTAACAACTTTATATAGTGTTTTTGTTGCAGAAGGCAGCAGGACGCTTTTTTATCTTCCCCTCTGCCTGGCAACGGCCAGGAAGTTCCCATCTCAGTCCCTGTGGCCGCCCTGCTTGCAGCACCTTCAAAACCTTATCTCCTTCTCCTACACAGAGGCCTTCAGCCTCCTCCAGGCAGCCAGAGCCCTCCTTTTATGCTAGAGACATGCAGCCTGTCCTCAAGTCCCTATATCTGACAAGCCCCTACTCAGAATCCTCAAATTCAGATGAGATGTGTTACATCATGCCTGTAGTATCAGACATTGTTTGGCTGAGACAGGAGACCTTGACTTTGAGGTTAACCTAAGCTCCACAGTGATACCCTGGGTTTTGTTTGGTAGGTTGGTTTGGTTTTTTGTTTTTAATTAAGGTAGAGGCTAGAATGGTGCCTTATAAGTGCAAGGACCTAAATTTGGAAACCCTGGAACCCACATCAAAAGCAAGGCTTAGTGATGAGCACCTGTATCCAAAGAAACAGTGAGGTAAGTGGTGGAGATTCTTGGATGTTGATGGCCAACTAGCCATCTGGTAACATTCCAGGCCAGTGAGACCGTTTCTCAAACAAGAAGTGATGGAAATGACATTAAGGTGGTCTTCGTGCACACTGTGCACAAGGGCAAGTCACACTTGTGAACTAGTCAGGGGTAAGTGAAATGTTCACAAAGTTCAAACATCTCAGTCATCCATGTTGACCTCTCTAAACTGACCACATCTCTTCACAAACACAGCACTTGCCTTGGGAACTCAGGACTGGCTGAGTTTATAGTTTTAATTTTACAAAGGAGGACAGTAAGGCCAGAAAAGACAACAAATTGTTCAGTTTTTAAAACAAAGCATGGGATTAGAGCCCAAGCACCTGACCCTAGAAAGTGTCTGTGCTGTCTGGGAGGGTCCACTGAGGAGGACACAGAGAGAGGTGGCAGAGGGTCAGCTGTACAAAGACCATATTGGGCAATGGTTGCTGGCACAGGGGCCAGCTCCTGCTCTGTAGAGTACATACCTGGCAAAGGGGCTACTGATGTTACCTCCGGGTTCATCCCATCCTGGTCAAAGAGTGTCTGATATGATCTGGCCAGATTCAGTAGGACCTAATTTCTACCTGACTCTGCATCCATTCTGAGTTTGAATCCCAACAGTAACACTGAGATGATGTGATCAGGGAACAATTGACAGACCTGCCTTAATCACAGTCCATCCATCTGCGAGGCAGAGACAAGAGTAATTCCTAGTTTTCAAACATCCACAAAGGAAAATTTGAATGTCTATAACAGACTGAGTACCAGGACACACAGAGGACAATCTAGATACAGATGTCCATCCTTGAGGAGCTCTTTTTGTTCCTGTTGTAGCCCAGGATGACCTGGGGCTCATTATTTTGCACAAATATGATCGTTCCAACCTCCCAAGTGTTGCAATGACGGGCATGTACACCAGCCCAGGCTGATGAAGCACACTTTTTAGTGAGAGACATGGACCAGGAAAAAGATTATTCAGTGTCTGATGATGACACGGACTGTAGAGAAAGAGAGTAAAGAACAGGAAGCAGGCATCTTAAAAGGGTTCATGAGCCAGGCAGACCGCGTACCTATACCAACATCCGTCAGCATACAGACACAAACCAGGGACCGTGAGAACATTTCACACACTGACTCAGTCCTCAAACAGGATAGAAGTACTCTGGGGGACCTATTTTTTAGAAAGTGAGACCCAGAAAGCCTAAATGATTTGGTCATGGATGCTGACACCAGGTTTTAAATCCTGGCAATTGACACACTTGCCACCATGCCACACACAGCTACCAGGATGCCAACTTTAGGAGACTTTGGCTTCTCTGAGGCATGAAGTCTAAAGAAGCCGGAGCTCCCCTCCCGGCACCAGTCAAGCAAAACGAGCCCAAGCTCTCCTCTCCTACCTATGAGGGAGTGAGATCAATTTACCCAGCAAATATCAGCTACTTTCTCTTACATACATTCGCTGTCACTTCTCATGAGTCCCCAGTGAAAATGAAGGATGAGGTGAAGTCACATATAGATGTGAAGCCGTTGGCAACTATTGGAACCTATAAGGCAGTAGGTGACCACCTGTTTGCTAAAGGACAGAGTCCAGTTTCTTTTGTGCATACAGAGCCATAGAAGCCAAGTAGGCCAAAGGGCACAAGGCAAGATGAGATGAATTAGGCCCAGTGAGAGGATACAGGTGCTGGCACAGGAAGCAACTAAGCCAAGAGTGCCAGGCTGAAAAGGACAGAGGACCTAGATGCAGGACAGAGGAAGCCCCAGACTGGTAAGGTGACTGGAACCCAGAAACCTACGCCTACTGCACCAACAGGGCACCGAAATATACAGAGGCCTCCTAGGGAACGTACAGCACAGTGGCCCCGGGCCTCGAAATCACGACCCCAGGTAAGCCTGTCCCTCAGCCCTGACCAACCTCCGCGGCCCTACTCACACAGCCCCGTTCCGGAAGCCCTTTATCACGGCCAGCGCAGCGTGGTAACGGCGCTGGCGCAGCAGCTTGTTGACAGCCTGGAGAAGAGCCCGTAGCTGCGGTGGGGCGGCCATAGCACCGGAGAGCACGGTCGAAGGACCCAACTGACCAAGTACTGACAGCCCTAGGCTCTGGCTGCCCAGCTCACTGCATTGGAGAGCACCGCCCGGTCGTTGTATCTATAGGCTGAGTCTGCTGTCAATCATATAAGAGAGCCAGTCATAGAGCGCATTTGTCTGCAAGGGGCTGAGACGCGCTTACTCTTCGGAATACCTGTCTGATTGGAAGAGAAAGGAGAGTTGGTAACCAATCACCGTGACTCGGAAGGTCTCACGCAGGATTTGCCCAATGAGAAGGCAGTTTTCTTAAGGAGAAGTTTGTTTCATTGTGGGGTTTGTTGCGAATTGGAATGGGTGGTGCTTGGAAGGTGACGTTGGGCTTGTCATCACAGTTGACACTTTCGATTGCCTAGCGAGTATCACAGCTAACTTCTCAGAACATAAATTACATGTCATTCTTGTTGTTTGGTTCTTTGAGACAGGATCTCTTGTAGCCCAAGCTGGCCTTAAACTATGATCCCCCTGCCGCTACCTCCTGCTGGGGTTGCAGGCCTGTGCTGTCATACATGTTTCTACTTATTTTAAAACTACAAACTCTTTCCCAGGGCCCCCAGGAGCAGACTTATTTACGCGATTGCCAGCCTTTGCTTCCCATTTCACATCCTCTCTTCTCTCCAGCCTGCTAGCTTAGTTTCCATTCCTTGAATGGGCCAAGAATCCTTCTGCTTCAAAGGAGTTATACCCGATATTTCCCCTTTTGAAGTGCATAGTCTTTGTACATATGATCACAACCATGCAGAATCTATACTAGAATGAGACCCTGGATTGAACACAAGAAAGATGAGCAGAAAGAATCGAGCCAGGCTTGGTCAAGTGTCTGCACATCAAGTTCTGTGGAGACCTGGGATACCTGATGAAGACTGAGGCCCATACAGCAGTGTGTGTGTTCTGGCATTTGTGTGTCCAAGGGCCACACATCAAGACCATTGTCCATTGTGGTCATAGCATGGGTAAATCTTTAGGGATTTCTGATAATAGATAGCTAATAAGCCCAATATGTTTGTTCATATAATCCTCTTATAAACACAGAGATACTTCAAAGTGTGAGGAATGTCCAGGCCAATTAATGAGTGAAAATTGGTAGTTAGATAGTTAACAAGAGGACTCAGATACTAGTAACTAGATAGTTAAC